TGTGAAAATCCGAAATACACCTCCATTTGGAGTCTCTTTTTCCATCTCCCAACATAGAATCTATGGGAAGCCTGCATAAATGGGCAGCAATGTCATTGACCTGTGCGTTCACTTCTGGAATTTCTTCTAACATTTGATTTTGTTAGGGCATGTGACTGAGGAGCAGCAATGGCCCTAGTACCAGCCAGCCTGTCTTGTGGGTCATAGCAAGTGCCTGACCAGGAGGCATATGGCAATGCGCAAGGCAGGACCCTCGCTGAGGAAGGAACAAGGGCATGAGTAAGAACAGACCCGCCATGGACCTTACTGAAATGAAAGCCAGCTTTTCTTGTGGGTAGGCTTTGGTAGGGTTAAGCAACTGATGTTAATTTCTGCAAAAGTAGAGGAAGTTTTTACGCTTAGCCAATTAAATACGTTGAAGTGGGGAGAAGTGTAGATATGCTTGTTGGTGCTGCAAAAAGATGTGTCTTGAATGAAATTCAGGTTTGTTTTTAGGTTTTGTTTTTGAGAGGGAGAGTCTTGCTATTGTTTAAAAAAACATCGTGAAACTTCTGGGCAGATGTGTGAAACTAACATGTATGCATTATGCATGGTTCTTAGTTTTTCAGCTGAATTGGAAGAAAATGCTGAAATATCACTTTAGCATTCCTTACTGGCAATGAATTTGGAAGCTGATGTGTCCATGTCATTCAGCACTAGATGCTACTTTTGTTGTCTTAGTGACTAATCATGTTGTGTCCTCTCTGAAATGGCTATAACGATTTACCTGGCTTGGGATTCTGTTGGGAATTTTTTTATTCCTGTTTTTGAATGGCTTTTAGCATACTTGTGGATGTTCATTAGAGCAGGACTGTGATGCTGGAGGTCCTGCAGCTTGAGAAAAAAAGGCGTTCAGGAGCTGTCTTGTTTTCAGTAGTAATAAAAGTGGCCATTATCTTCCAAAAATTGTCAAGAGAAATAAATAGATTTATGATATATGCAAAAGTATTGTGGGTTGTTTGTTATTTTTGTTTTTCAAAAGCACTGGCATAAAAGCCGGTATATTTTTCTGTATCCTGGCATTTCAATATCCATCAATTAAAGCAAAAGAATTAACTGCCACTGGTTTCATTGGGAAGCAGTAATGAAGATTACAAGAAACCTTTTTAATTGATGCATTTTTAATGTTAGTCTGTAAAACAGACTTAAAGCCAAGAGCTTTATGTATAGGCAGAAAAATTATTTTCTTTACGTCTTTGTTCTTTGAGGAATACAGTCTCAAATGAAAAGCTTAGCGAGCCGTGCTGTGTGACTCTTGGGTGGAATAAGATGCTGGGGACTGAGCCCCTATCCTTATTCATGTCCCTAAGGATGAATCCTTTTCAGGATTGGCTCTTCTGTTTGCTTTGTAGATGTGAGAGGATTTACCCAACTAGACAACTAGACAGGAGTTAAGACCAAGTGACACACGAAGTTAAAGCATAGGATTTTAGACCTCAGGTCCTTCAGTGAGATCAGTTGTGGGTCTTCAGATCTTCCACAGTTGCACGCTGGAGTCAACTATGGATCTTTCTGCTTCTCAGCTGTCAAGGCTGGTGACCCTGTTAGAACATGGGAACACCTACCTAGGCCAGAAGAACTCAGGCTCACTTTGGCTTTTTTATCCACCCCCTTGTCTCACCCCAGTGGGAATGTGGGCAGCACACACATTTAGTTCCAAACAATAAAAAATGCGTGTGGATTCCCTGATCTAGAAGTAGCTTGTGAGTGCAGGGTGCCAACTCTAAATCCCTAAATTAGACCGTTCTCAGTGAAACACCTAGCAGATTCATGTTTCTGCATTTTACATGTACTTGTTGAGCTTCAAGTATATGCTTTTACATAACAGCTTTTAAGAAAGGACTCTGCCCGAAGAATAGTTGTGAAGTGTAAAGCCAGGACCCACAGAAAGCATCTGCAGCATGGACTGATTTCCACAGTCGCGTGCTGTCCCCTCCTAGCACGTTACTCTGTCATCCTGGCAGCAGAGTCAGTATTTTCCCATGACGGCTCTTTTTTTTCGGCCCCCGAATCAAGTATTGTGCTTCACTCCACCACAGCTGCAACTTTACTAGTAAATAAAACACTGTCAATCACTGTCACTTTTGAGGCCAACAAGCCTGAGACTGCCTGCTTCCATTGCTAGCAAACTTTTTTACCTCCCAGAACAGGGCGGTTGCATCCAAAGTGAGAGTTACTTGTGGCTGATATTCATTCCCGGACAGCAGCTAGGAGTTATTTGGGAAAGTGCTATTTGAAACAGGTCAAAACTATTCCTGGAACTGTTACCACAATATAGATGGCTGAGTTCCTGTGCTAAGAGTATTTCCTGGTGCTATTAAACATATCAGCATGGGAGTCGCCTTTTTTAATTAGCAGAGCAAAAGGCTTGTTCCCAATGGTGTAATGGGAAACAGGGCTACCAAGAATGACAAAATACCCTCACAAGCTCCTCCAGCTTAGCCAGTGCTTCTGAATGGCTCTCTTCCCTTCACCCTGATGCTTAGGGGTAGTCAGAGGTCAGGTTAGCAACCCGTTTGGAGGGTGCCATCTTCTTGGTTTCTCTAAATTTTGAATATCCTTTTGCCTAGCTATTTTTGAAGGGTATCAGGATGCTGGTGTATTCATATGACTTTCCTGAGCTCATGCTCTTCTTTCCTTAATATTAATTAGTTTAAAGGAACACATTGTATTAGCATCTTTGATTAGCGCTTGAAGTTTTAGCAAATGAGTGAGATGTTGCTCCAACTGTCTGAATGTGGAATACCTATGGACACTTTGATATGCTGATTTCCTTCTGGAGATAATACTTTCCTCTCTGGAACATTAATTGAACTGTCATCTCTCTGATGACTTCCCCCTTTCTTTCCAGCATGGCTTATGCTATGCTCTGCATTGTAATGACTTTAGGTTTAATGTTATGAAAAATACCATTCAGACAATATTTTGACAGTCTGGAAACTCCAGATGCATTGCTGGGTTTCCATAGAAATGATACACAAGGAATTAACATATATGACTGACTTGACTGAGTTTGTCTTTAGTCAGATTTGGAAACCTGAGTCCCTTTCTTGTGACAGGGAGACTTCATTAATGTATTACTCAATTTAGTGTGGTAGGGTGTTTTCTGTACTCAAAGGTAGTGCACAGTCTTGCTGAGAATCTTTATTTGTGTCCACTCTTGTAATCATCTTTTCTAATACCAAAACTGAGTTAGCTTTTCATCTATCAGTGTGCTGATCTGGGAAATGCAGTGTCTTAACCATCCACCCCATTTTTATGCAAATAATGAGAACTTCCACATACCCCATGTCATTCCTTTGCCATCCATAACGAATAAGGACAGCCAGGTATACCCCCAAGTTGTCAGATGTTTCTTTGCAGAGCTTCAACCTTCTCAAATATATTCCAGACTTTCTGTAGGAGTTCTTAGTCTTTCTTGTGTACAAATAAATTGTTAATTTAGCAAATTTAGCATAGGTAGAGAAACACAAAATCTGCAATTTAAAACTTCAAATTCCCAAAATTATTCTGTGCAATCTCACCACTCAACCACTCATCTTTCATGGAAACAGCGTGTGTGCTTATCTCTTGGGTAAGAAGACTATTAATTTGTTTAACCTTGGTATAAAGCTGCTTTGTAGATCAGGGAATCTTATGTTTCACTTGGTTCTTTCTGTATGGTGCGTTATCTGAGGTCCATGTTAACTGCTCAGGTAATGGAGGAAGGAGAGTGAACTGCTGAACTAGGAATACTGAGACTCTAAAAGCGTGGCTTGCTACAGCTTGAGCAAGTACTCTGTACCTGAAGTGGTAACGTGGTTTTGTATTGTGTAGAGTAGCACAGAAGAACTTGTCAGTTCTTGTTCTTTTTCCCCACTTCTCAATATACCCACTGACCAGCAGGACATTTTCCAAAAATGCATCTACTCACCATTTCAAATCATGGAGTGAAAGATAAAAACACACTTGGTAGTCTCTTTCAGCAGTTAGTCATCATCACTCTTTGGCAGCCAAGACGTTTTCTTCAAGATTAAGTAACTGTCTTTGGTAGTAGCATCTTCTCCCCCACAGAGCTAGCTGGCTGCCCTGTTAGCAGGGTAAATCTTTGTGTTGAATGCCTCTTGAAGCACTCTTTCTGCTCTCACTTCAGTCCTTTCATGCTTTCCAAAGCAGTATACAGAAATAAAATTGCCTCTTTCCTCTGATTCTATTCCTTTGAGTGAACGAAGACTTGAATAGATATGACTTCATCTGCAGGTTAGGAAACTGATTCCTGATCATGGCACTGGAACTCCTATTTTCAGCATTTGTTGATGTTGTTGCTTGTGACTTTGTTTAGCTGTACTTCTTAGTTGAAACTGGGAGCAAAGCAACGCTGCTTTGAATCTTGTTGAAAAGGGATGCAATTGGAAAAATAAATTTGCCCTTGCCAGAATAAGAAATGACAATGTTGTGCAATTCTGCTTCAAGTAAAGACAAACATTTTTTTTTTTTCAATGCTAGAAAATGCTTCAAAGTCTTGCTGCTTGATTAAGTAATCTGTTGTAAGGCTGCATTGTATTAACCGTGAAGGAGAACTCCTTAAAATAATCTTTTAAATCACTTATCTGAGATTTCTGGATCTGGTAGAAGGATTTGGAACAATTTAGTGAAGCAGTTCCATTCTGATCAAGTTCAATGGTATGCAAGTCTGTGTTTTACAATGAGGAAAGCATAACCACTGTAGACCTCAAATATGCAAATGACAATAATTGTTTGCTTAAAAATTCCACCCAGCAAATATCTTACCCACAGTATTGGTTCTGTATCCTCCATCCCATTTCATTCTGTCTGTCTCCATAACCTTTTGTTCCACCTGTGATGTTTTTTCAGCAGTCACATGATAAAATGTCTAGGCTAGATTCCAAGGGTGGAATAAAAAACTGTATTTATTTTTATGGAAGCACTAACAATTCTATTTGGATTGGATTTCTTCATAGCAAAACCAATGAATTATTGAACAGATTGGACTTGGGTTTGCCAAAGAGTGATTCCTGTCAGATTGCTAATCGTGGCCCCGAATCTACAGCATGGGTAAGCAAAACCATGGCATGTGCAATATTTTCTGTCAGTTTCCAGGTGCTGTCAATAGTGTAATATTAGAATATTCTAATTGAGCTTAATTGCCTAGACATAACTCAGTGACTACCAAGGAGTCTTTCTGGGTGAATGAGATTGCCTACGTTGTCTCTTATACACTGGTAGAGTATCCTACATAGTAGGGGACTGCCTTTATTAGTTACAGATTTCTCTCTGATAAACGGGAGCCAGATTTATATTCTAAGGTCAGATCAGAATCTTAAACGTGCTCTGTACCCATCAGTTGGTGGCAAGCTTTTATGAAATCTCAACTAGTTCATGTCAACGGATGCTTTACTGCATTGAAAATCTAGACAGAGGAGAAGCTTATTTCGCACTGCGTCCTAAAAGTGATTCCATAGATGGCTAGGGGACTTTGTCCCAGTCTGAATGAGCCTGGTAAGTATCAATGTAATTAGGAAATAGGTAAAGTATTGCATAAGTTTCCTTATTCTAATTGCCTCAAAAAGGCTTTTTCACATATGATTAGTACCTTTATATCTAAACCAAGCTTTTCTACTGATGTAAAAGCTTGCAGTGAGGAATGTTAACCCTGAGACAGAAGTATTTCTCCTTTAGGGAGGTTTGTAATTGAGGGAAGACAGAGAGCAGGCAGCCAAGTGAACAGAAATTGTTGTTACAAACAATGGTCCTTAGTCAGCAGAAGCTTGGAAGTATCTAATCTGGACAACCCTCTGTTTGTTATGACCTTGGACACCAACAGTTGAGTAAAGGGAGGGAAAGATTTACCGCCATATTTCCTCAGAAGCCTTGGAAATGTGCAAGACCCTCCTGTCACAGAAATTCCTGCAAACAGAATATATTGCCTCTAGTATCTTTTTTTCAGTTGCATGAAAAAGGAAGGTGATACTGAACGTAGGTTCCTTTCCCCTTTGATTTCTAAGGTAATTTTGTGTCTCTGAAAACCACAAAGATGTCTTAGCGTATATAGGCAGATTTGCAGCTTGAAGGAGCCAGCTTCTGCCCAGCATTGCTGGACAGAAGGTCAATTGCAGGAGAGTGGCTTTCAGACTGTCTTTTGTAGTCCTGGGCAGACAAGCAAGACGAAGGACTATGGGAAGGGAAAAAAGATGTCTTGAAACCACTTCTACCTCCCTCTTGAAGCATCTGATGCTCCAAACAGTAGGGAGCTTGTTCTTTGATAGGGAAGACCCAGCTCTGCAGCCTTTTGTATGGTATGAACATGGAATTGCGAAGACAAGTGAGTTCATGTCCCCAGGACTGACTTAGATTTCAGCACTTTGGCGTGGTGTCTTCATATCTATACAGAAGTGGATAGAACGCTGAATTCTTTCAGGCATACAGGTCCTACTTTTAGCCTTTGCCTTCTACTTCATCTACCTGTGTGTGCTTTTCTTGTTCCAGTTTTTGTGTGGTTTCTTGATAGGTTAAACAAAATTACATACTATAGTTCATCTTTGACTTCACCAGTATCCAAGCAGACAGAATGTATAGTTTATCTGTACTGCTTCTTATTAATATCAGCTGATGTTATACATGTCTTTTGTGTGGCAGCATTTCTAGAACTTTGTGAATCAATTATTCACTTGCTTATAATGCAGCAATGCAGTTAGAAAAATGTCTTCCCAACCAGCTTGAATGAGGTACAGCCTATAGGCACAGCCTCCATGCTCTGTGTAATGAATCCGAAGCACATCACCAATGAGTTGTTAACCAAACATGGCGTAGTACCAAAATGCTAAAGCAGTGGGAAAATTTGAACTCTAATTTTGATGTTGTCTTGGACCAGTCCTTTGTCTAGAATGATTAAAAGGTTCAGGAACAATGTATTTGAAATTGTGAAGTGTTATAATCTTAGGAAGTGCCTGACATGCATGTTAAAGAGGAGGCGCATATATATATATATGTATATGATTTTTTAAATTTTAAATTCATGTTCTAAAAAAAAAGTTGGGACAATGTAACATTGATAATTTTTTTCCCTCAAATCATTTCTTTGACAGTGATATTAATTTAGCACACCTAGTTCAAATATCAGTGTGAAATATTGCTTGATGTGCATGAACAAATTTGACTTCTTCAGAGTGACTCTGTCATTGGTGACTTTTTTGGCCCGCTTATTTAATCAGACTCATAATTAATTTTAATCCTGTCTTTCAAAGTGTTACCAATCCTGTGTAGACTTTTATTGTCTTCCAACTTGATTAACATACACTCCACAGAATTCTCCAAGCCATTATGGAGAGTAATGAATAATATCGGACCCAGAATGAGTCTCCCTGGACACATGTAACAACTCCTCCCAACTCAAAATTGAGCTATTAATAATTGCTTTCTCTATTCAGTCTTTTTAGCAAATTATGTGCCTGTCATTTTAATGGTGTCATTCTGCATGCATATATCAAGTTTCAGGAACATCGTGTAGACCTGTAACAAATTCCTCACTAAAATCAAACCTGCATACTTCTTGTATTAAATTATACTGGCTTATTATTTAGTGTGCTACACTCTGTCCCTGCTCAAAGACTTTGCAGTGTAAGTTTCCATATATAAGATCCTAAGGATCCTATAAGATCCTAATGGTAGGCTGGCTCTTTGCTAAGAACTACATCTTGTGAAAGACCAGGACTAGTTATTGTAATGAAAACCCACACAGTTGAATACTTTATTCATGATGTGTAGTTCAGATTTTCAGTTCTCTTGACTGCCCCACAAATAATATAGCAGACTTGATCTCTCAGCTTCTGTTGCCCTACCTCCACAAATGCCTTTCCAACACTCCTGTGGAAATAATCCTGGGTTCCTCTCTGTTACCACAGCTCCCTTCTGCTTTGTTATCTTGGTAATATTTTCAGTACTTTTCTTTCTTCCCAGAATACCCCATCTCACTGTCATATATCCTGATTGTGTTTTCTGACTGCTTGGGGTATCTTTATGCTTGCCACTGGGACACAGAATAGTATGTGCTGTGGGTGCCTTGTTGTGATGTGCAGGTGGACATTCAGCCAAACCGAAGGACTGAGAGGCTTTAGACCACTTCTTGTTTAAATTCTGGTCTTGAGACTAATCTAGTTTTTAAGTAAATGGGATCATTCAACTCTTTCTGTTAATTACCTGTATAAAGATTTGGGAATAAGGTTTGGGATTTTGGTCCGCCCTCTCCCCACACCAATATGTTTATATCCTCTGCTGAACAATAGACTAGGAGCCGTATTTACAAGCAAGCTCTTCGAGAGGATGAAAACAGAAGATTGGAGGAAATGAAGCGAGAACAACGGAGGAAGGTAATTATACATTAACAGTTTGCATATTGTATCATTTTTGCATGCTGTGAAACCAATTAGATACATTGATTACTTGTAGCCTACGCACAGAGCTTCTCTTTAGCAAAAGTGATTTAGTCACTGTTTTCAAATATTGTGAGAGATGAGGCAAGCTGTAAAATTTGGCCAGGGACAGGACAGTTATCTTCTGGGTTAAAGGCTATTTGCATCTGGATGACTAGCTTCTGTTTGCCTCTCCGTTTGAACAATTGTGCAGAGCATTTTTTGACCACGGCACCCGATTTCATAGGCTAAGGAAACCAATTTCCTCTCTTTCAGGCAGAAGTAATCTTACTGAGATATTCATGATGATCTCAGACTCTGAATAGTGTCTTTCTAGAGAATGGAGGCCTGTGTGCCCTGCCTTCCAAAATTGGAAGTGGAAGCACTCAGATTTGCTGTTAAGTCTGTATGCTTCTCTACTCCTTTGCTAGCCACTTAAATGAAGAGTTTTGAATTGTCTAAAAAGCAGGCATGCCATAACTGCGAGTTTACAGTTAAGTCCATCTTCTGCATATGCGACACACATTGCCTGAAATGCGTCTGAACCGCCGTAGCCCCTCTGGCACAGATCTGGGTAACATATCTACATAAAGTTCATTTATGCAAGGCAATGGCACTGTACTAAGGTACTAAGTTGTCTGTCTTGTCGTCGGCTCTGATTGATTGTGCAAGTATGGGGAGGGCAGCAATGGAAAATCATATTAGCAAATCAGCTGAAAACATATTAGCAAATACTCAGCCTCTTGTTACGCCTCTGCGGGTACTAATACCCAAATTAATGTTAGACTGCTTCCCCAGTAGCAAAATCTTACATAGCGCAACAAATTCCATGCAGTGAGTTTCTAATAGAGCTGGACAAGTGACTCAGCCCCCCTCAAGGATATCTTTATTTAAATGTTGGGGACAAGTGTCCTTATTTCATAGTATTCTAGCAACCAGGATACTGGAAACAAACAGGTGGGGAAAAAGGAGGCTCTTAATTGCTTTCCCATTAGGTATATGCTGATTCCCAGGAATTATACAGAGGAAAAATGTTTGAAAGCTACTCCTGACACATGTAGGACCTGTAGCTCTTGTATTCTTTACATTTATTCCTCCATAGAGAAAATAACTATAGATGTGAATTAGCATGCTCCTACTTTATGAATTTGGTTTAAGGGACTCATGTAGAGCTTTAGACTCTTTACCAATTTCCAGAGATTGCTAAGAAGATGATGGTTGCTTCTAAGGCCGCTCTTTCTTGGTACATGGTTCCAAGTGCTCCTTGCCTTCACAGCTGCTGCTACCTATTGCGCAGAGTAATGCACTACTTACAAACCTACTGTAAATAATATGTATTTTAAAGGCTCCAATAATTGTCCCTCAGATATATGTTGGCTCGTTTCTACTTCAAACTGATATTTATTAAAGTAATTGTGAATTCTATCTTGTGTGTACCTCCTAGCACAGTGTAGCTATAAAACGTATAGGTATTGTCAGTTCCTTTTTTTTTTTCCAGAACAGGTTTTAGTATGTATTGCTTGATTTAGAAATTTTCAGTACGCTTTGAACACTGCAATATACACACAATATATTTCAGAACATTACTCCAAGAGAGGACTCAGCATATTGGAAAGTCAGATACTGGGTTTTAATTTTCAGGTTGAATAGTTATTTAAAACAGTGAAAATTAAGGTTGGCTTTTTTATTTCTTAATCCTGTTTCTTCTTTTAGGGCTAGACAAATATTGATACACAACACATTCGCAGTTATTGATTTTCTTCATACATTTATTGCATAGTTTTTATTTAATGTTCCATTTAAATTGATTTTTTTTAAAAAAAACTTTTGTGGTTCCATTCAGTTATTGAAGCTTTTATCTAACCGCATCATTTTATTTTAGTTCCTATTCCTACTGCTGCTCAGTTGCTATAGAAAATATGAAAGATGGGTCTGTTCCTATCCCTTCCCCCCTCACCCTGCAAGCCAAATTTTCTTTGCAGAAAAATCTGCATCTTCAATTCTTGGGTGCATTGCAGGGAGGAAGAGCCAGACAAACAAGCACGCATGCAGAGCAGAGTCATACAAGCTGTGTTTCCCTTGCAGTCCTGACTAAAATTGCATAAGTAAACCGTCCTCTGAAAAGAATTCCCTTTGACACTGTTTATATACCTTAATATTACATAATGGAAGGACAGTAGGCTGCTGCAACGCTGGGAGCTGGCACACGCTTTCACCACACCAACAGGTGCCATTTGCCCTTCCCTCACCCTTTGGCGAGCCCCAGGGAGCTGGAGGTGATGCACCGTGCCACATACCCCCAATCTTGTCTTCTCCTCATGCTCCATGGAGGCAGGAGGTGAAGGGCATGACTCCTTCGTACCCTACGGGCGTGACGTCTGCGTCTGCTCCTGCTAGATGACTTCAGCTTTCTTTCCCCTTGGACCCACAGGGAAATTCAAACCCATGGGTTGGGGCAAGGGGAGGCAGACTGATGTCTGGCATACCCCTTTAAATGTAGGACTGTAAATGTCTGAATCCTGTAACTTCCCACTTTTTAAGACACAAAACTCATTCAGCGCAACAGTGAATGGAGGAATGAGCTCAGTTTTTAACATAGTGTTGTCACATAAATAAAATGCTGTTGAGAGAAGTTCTGGGAATGACATGTGGCTCTAGATGAAGTTAACACCATGTGCAATTAATTGGGTTTGCAACATAGGTATGTTAATTAAAATTAAGTTTGTTGGTTGGTTGGTTTTTTTCACTTTTATCATTCCCAGGCTGAATTAATGGAATTTAAACAAAAACAAGAAGAGGAAGCCAGGATGAGAGCACATCAAAACGAACAGAGGAGGTATGAGGCAAAAATGCAGAATACACATTAATTGAATTCCTACCTGGAAAGAGTCTAAAAATTGCAGGCATTCATGCTTTAGAAGGCGATTGCGATGAGGATCCCTGACCTCACCTCTGGTTTAACTTTGCGTTCAAATAAGCTGCTAATATCCGTCATTGCAACTGCTCACTGTAATGCACTATGGCCCAGAGTTCCTTTTTCACATTATTTATCCAATCAGAGTAGGATACGGCATAGGGTAGAAACTATTAGTAGTTTCATGGGTAACTACTGGTACAGTCCTTTCAAATGAGAAACATTTTATTAATTTATTTACTTCATTTTACTTTATTTGAGAATGAGCTACTTGTCCATGCCACGTTTTGCAGCTGACTGTTGCTGAAGTTGACAGATCTAAAGGTGGGATTAGATACGGATCCAGATAGAAGCTGTGGTGCAACAAGGCTTTCTGTAGCCGCATTGCTGCCCGCCCCAGGCTGTGCCCCACTGCTGTGCCCTCTCTGTGCTCAGCGGTTCTAATCTTGCACTTCTGTCACTTAACTGACTTCACATTATCTTGAAGCACAGCTTTATTCTCAGGTTTGTTTTCTGCTGGTAAAAAGAAGCAATGTTCAGGCTCAAAAATAAAAACACCATTTGTTTCTTTTTTTATACCATCAGGGAAATATTAAAAAAAAAAATTACTTCCATAGGCAACCACTCTCCATACTGTTTTCATTTCCTTTTTTTTTTCTCTAGCAAAGATATTGAGATAATTACCCATAGAAGTTAATGAGGGATTTTTGATTCAGTCCATCTCACATCCCTAGACAGAAATAATCCAGTATCTTGCATTTTACATCATTCTTACCAATAGCATTTTAAAACATTAAACCAACAGTCATGTCTAAGCATGTGTGTCACTCCTAAGCATTAATAGGGGGGAAAAAGAAACAGTTTTCAGAAGGTTTTATAATACTTAAAACAGATTGAGGACAAGTGTATTTGTATGTTTGCATGATTTCCAGACTGATAAAGCAGTACAAGAAAATGCTAGAGTTGATTT